CAAATGCCTTGAAAGTTCGCAATGCCGTGTTGGTAAAATGCCGAGGCGAGCCGATCCGAGATTTGATTATGCCGCCTCTGTAGTCATCTATGTTCGCTTGACCGACCGAACAGGAAGATTGATTTTTCATGCTAGATATGGAAATTGCTCTGAAAGCGAACGCCGCAATACAATTCATGCGGAATACTTTATGCTGATGGACGAGGAGTTTAAAGAAGCTGTGCTGTTGCTTCAAGATCAGAGAGGAGGTAGCGTTACTATGTTCATGAACAAACAGCCTTGCTATAAATCAACTAAACACCACGACAGAATGCCTGGCCTCACAAAAAAACAATGCGCACAGGACTTAGTGGAATTCTATAACTTGCACTGTTCATCTTATGGTGTCAGCGTCACTATTAATCTCTGCCAGTTGTACAAAGTTGACAGGACACCGACGCCGCAGTTTGAGGAAGATATCACTAACGGCTTAGAGGGAATGGGCAAGATGATTGCTGCCGGCATCAAGTTAAAGGCAATGACTAAGAAAAGTTGGCTGCAACTTGCTGGATACGCCTGTATGACACTACCTTTATATGATGGAGGAGAACGGCAAAAGTTGGATCAACACATCAGAGAATTTCTCGTCGCTTGCGAAGGCCAAAGAACAGCCGGCGCAGGCCAGAATCAAACAGAGAAGGAAGAGATAGACACTAAAGGTCATTTACAAGCCAAGATAGAATGATGGAAATATATATGCGTAGTATTTAATTTTAAGCTTGACGCTACTTTATACATTTGCTGTTCGGAGAAACAGCTCAGATCAAGCTGGAGTTCGTTAACGCACCAGGTGACTATTCACTCTCCTCCACATGGAAAATCGAAATCCTAATCGGGGGAACAGTTATTTTATTCGGATTTGAATCGTTGAGAATATTTAAGGAAATAGGCGGATTGTACAATGTACGTTTGAGTTCTTCAAAATCCTCCTGTGTCAAAAAAAAAAAACAGTTCGAGCGACTGATTTATAGAATTCAGTATGAATAGCGATTCTGTAGGTTATCAACTGCGTGTAGACACACGATAAAATTGCAAAATAAATTCATGAAACTCGTGGTAATTTTCTTTGTTTTTGACCATCTAAATACTTTTCGGTTGCTCTGTTGTTACCAAAACTGCCAGAAAACATTATTTTGAAGCCAGAAGAAGTTGTCTAGAAGTCATACCACATGACAAGTGGCAAACCTCACCTTAATCTTCGCCCTTATCCGCCCGAGAGACAATTGCTACAAATAATTTCCTAACACTCGTCGTTCAGTTGACTATTTCTTTTATTCTCTCTTCAATTACACAAGTAATTTTTCGAATCCCTCAAAACGTAGCTATCAGTTCCGGACCTTCATCACAACTATTCGTATCGAGTGGAATGGAAGTAATTGTGATCAACATGGACTGGAGTAAGCAAAGCCTCGTCAGCCACCTTCTTATTTGTTCTCCCTTAGATTGGCGACTACTACAGTTCGATAAAAGGTTAGTTTGTGATAATGCTAGTTCAGTGCAAGATCACAAAAACAGTCACGAGGTTGGTGGGTTCAACCCCATGGCATGCCCATGGCAATCACAAAAGCTCAGTTCTGTGGTATGTTTTACCACGTAACAGAAACGAACCACACGGGATTTTCGTGTCTCGAACAATCGAAATGCAAAGTTGGAATACGAGGGGGCAGGAGAAAATTTTCTGAGACGGTTGTGATTACGTACGAATAACAGAGAAGAACGGTCGACTTTTATTTCACGCCAGATATGGCAACTGTTATGAAGGAGTTTACGAAAGCACCACCCACGCAGAGTATTTTATGCTGGTGGATGATGATTTTAGAGAAGCGGTCAATATTCTTCAAAATCAGAACGGAGGAGACATCAACTTATTCATGAACAAACAACCTTGCTATAGATCAACAGGACATGGAAAGAAAACCGTCCTCAACGTAAAAGACTGTGCTCAATATCTGATCAATTTTTACAATGTTTATTGTTTACCTTACGGAGTAAACCTGACTATAAATTTGTGTCAGTTGTACAAGGTTGATATGTCGCTCAGTTCAATCGATATATCTTTGACAACAGACATTGTAAACGCTAGACTAGGGGTAAAAAGGATGTTTTCTTGTGGTATTGAGCTGCTGGCAATGAGAGAAGACTCCTGGAAATCACTAACTGAGATATCATACATCCAGTTACCTGCCTATGAAGACAGCGATCGTCATAAATTAGACCGATACATCAACCTGGTTCTTTCCAAAATAAAAGGAACACCAGTTCATTTACTTACCAAATATAGCCAGTTAGAGTTGGAAAGTTAACGAGTCATGCATCAAGATTTTCATATTAGTCTTCACTGCTAAACTGATCCGTTCTGTAATTTTTGTCTGGCAGGGCATCAGAGGAAATCTTCCAAGCCATGCAAAAAATCACTTTGGGTATAACCAGCCATTTCATGTGTTGTGCTTGTATTTAAAGAACAAATTATATTTTTGATTTCAAATTCGTCTTTGTGGGTGAGCTTATTATACAATCGCAATAATTGTTTTCCAAATCATGATGGATGTCCTTGCTCCTGTTCCCCGCTCCAACTTACACTACCACAAAAGTTAGTAATTATCAACCTACAGCCCTACTGTAACTTTTGCAGCGTCCATGTTATGTGGGTCAGATGATTGTCTGGAAAATTTCTGGTTCAAAATCTGCCCCTCTAGAATAACCACTCGGGTCCTGATGCTTAAGTCAATTTATACTTATATCGACATTGTTAGGCTGTTTTCGAAATATTTATATTCAGACGATTACAGATCTAATTCATGTTCATATATTTATAGATCTATCTTAATCATCATCTTGCCAAAGACATCCTAAACTCTCTTTCCGAACTGTTTAAAATCATAAGGGATTATCATCGAGTTCTCGGGAAAACCCGCTTCTTTTCAGAGAAAAGAGGTGATGTCACAAAGTTTTGACTGCAGATAATTTCCTCGATGTCATGCCCCAACTAGGCGATCTTTTCCCCACTATCATAGAAAAGTTTGTTGGTACACCTCTACCTTAAAAGGGTGGCAAAGCTTTCATAGAAAACTACATGCACAGACTTATCTGCGACAACCTGCAGCTTGGCGATGTTAAGATTACACTCTTTTAATTATTCAGCGTTGGAAGAAAAAAAACGAAAATGAAAAGAACAACATCGGTAAGGTCTTGTTATGGATGAAGCTTGATTATGTTGTGATTGCTGCAGTATAAGAAAGCCAACTATTTGCGTTCTTTCTCGGCATGTTAATTATGTTTTATGACCGCCGGGAAAGATAAGTACTGGAACAAGCACATCTATAATTCATAAGCAGTAACGTGACAGGAATGGCTATTTCCGTCGGAATTACGTCACTTTCTCAGAAAAACCCGGTCTTCTGAGAAACTGTCTCGGTCGCTATATTTTTTTTTCTTTAACTCAATGTCTTCATGGCGTCTCTGCGGGATCTCTCTGCCAGAGAAAAGCTAAAAAACAGTAAAGCTGAAACATTGATTCTCTGATCATCAAGACCAAACTGTTACGGCTTCAAGATCCTAATGACGAGCAAGGTAGGACTGACGGTTTCTGAACATGGAAGGTTGGCTGTCATCAAGCGAAGTGAAGGACGGATTGAGTTGTTCCGCAGTTCAAGAAATGTTGATAATTCAAGTCCCGCATATCAAACAATTACTGAAGATCTCATAAGTCCTTACGATATCTGCTTCGCACCAAACAACCACCTTGTTGTAACGGACATGGGTGATAACACTTTTAAAGTATATAACTTTGAGGGATCACCTAAATTGGTTAGCAAATTCAGCTGCCTGAAAGGAATCAGAGATGAACGTACTTGTATAAAAAAATGTGAAAACATATTGACTTTTAAAGGCCACTCGGTACTAGTACCTCAAAATATAGTCGCCGGACCGATTACTTCATCGCAACTTTTTGTTGTATTCGAAAATCTTATTTTTGTCATCACAATGGACTGGAATACAGTGGAGATTCTTGACTTTCAGCAGCTATCTTCCTCACAAGATTGGCCCCGTGTTCAGAGGAAAGCGCGTACGGAATGTGACAAGAATAGTCTTGTTCACGACCACAGTGAGAATCATAAACTTGGAGGACGTAATCCCTTAGCAATCACTAAAGCTCAGTTCTGCGCTATGTTCTACCACGTTACGCAGAGAAGAAGAGGTAACATAAATTACAAATGTCTTGAAAGGTCGAGATGCCGCGTTGGTAAAATGTCGAGGCAAGCCAATCCGAGATTTGATTATGCCGCCTCTGTAGTCATCTATGTTCGCTTGACCGACCAAACAGGAAGATTGATTTTTCATGCTAGATATGGAAATTGCTCTGAAGGCAAACGCCGCAACACAACTCATGCGGAGTACTTTATGCTGATGGACGAGGAGTTTAAAGAAGCTGTGCTATCGCTTCAAGATCAGAAAGGGGGCAGCGTTACTATGTTCATGAACAAACAACCTTGCTATAGATCAACTAAACACCATGACAATATGCCTGACCTCACAAAAAAACAATGCGCACAGGACTTAGTGGAATTCTATAACTTGCACTGTTCATCTTATGGTGTCAGCTTCACTATTAATCTCTGTCAGTTGTACAAAGTTGACTTGGCACCGACGCCGCAGTTTGAGGAAGATATCACAAACGGCTTAGAGGGAATGCGCAAGATGATTACTACCGGCATCGAGTTAAAGGCAATGACTAAGGAAAGCTGGCAGCAACTTGCTGAATACGCCTGTGTGGAACTACCTTTTTATGAAGGAGGAGAGCGACAAAAGCTGGATAGACACATCAGAAAATTTCTCGTCGATTGCGCGCACAACCCCTCACCAACACAGGACATTAAACCAAAGAATAACCGGCACAGGGCCAGAATCAAACAGAGAAGAAAGAGATAGACATTGAAGGTCATTTATAAGCTAAGATAGAATGATGGAGATACATTTGCTTTTCAGAGAAAAAGCTCAGATCAAAGTGGAGCTCGTGAACGAACCAGGTGAATGTTATATTCACCCTCCTCCACCAAAAAAATCGAAATCTTAATGGGGAACAATTAAGAATATTTAAGGAAATAGGTGGATTTTACAAGTGTACGTTTGAGTTATTCAAAATCCTTCTGAGCCAAAAAAAAAAAAAGATTGAGTGACTGATTTACAGAATTTAGTCTGAAGAGGGATTCCGAAGGTTTTCAACTACGTGTAAATACACGATAAAATTGCGAAATAAATTCATGAAACTCATCGTGATTTCAGTTTGCTTTTGTCCGTCTAAATACTTGTCGATAGCTCTGTTGTTACCAAAACAGCTAGAAAACATTATTTCGAAGCCACAAGAGGTTGCCTAGAAGTCACACTAAACTCATCTCTCTCCTTGCCCTTATTAGCCTGAGAAACAATCAACCGGTTACTCTGAGCAATCTCACCTTCTCAGCGGATTCTGTCGGATGAACCGTTAAAGATATTCCAATGTTGCGTTTTATCCGCCAATTTTTCAGTGATTCGTGCTTTGAATTGCGCTAAGTAACGGAAAGGACGATCGCTCGCAAAATCAGCCATGGTACAAAGGTTTTGAAAAATATTGTAATTTTAAGGACTTTTTTAAAAGATTGTACAAATTTTTTTTCTATTGATCTCCAACATGTAGAACCTAGTGGATTCTTACCTAAACAAGTTTTCCTGAATGGTCTTAGAGCAAGCGAATTTACCTGAGAAGTACTTTCATGAGACTTCTTTTTGACATGTAATCTGCGCAGAACACATTCTCGCGTTTTCGTTGGGACTCTGGGAACTATGGATATTAATGACGCTGTAAGACTGGTGAGGAGTTCAACATGGCGGACATCGAGGACGAAGTTGAGGTAAAACGAAATTTATCGATATTTCCACCTCACCATTAACCTCAATGTGAATTATGGACAACTTTTCTACTTTACCTAGTCAGTTGGAATTTTTATAGCGTCAGTACTCTCGAATTTGATTACTCCCATGTCCATACATTCGAATCCTTGTTGCTTTCCCTTCCAATCGATTTCTTTCTCACTGTAGTGGTGTCAGAATACGTGGCAACGATCATAAGTATACAGATAATACAGAGCCATTTATACTTGTAAGGAAATAATAAGACTGTAATAATTTTGGATATGTGTTGGAATCTTTTACTCTGTTTTTATTTTATTTTTTTAGGAGGAATCTGAATCAGTCCAAGCAGAAGCAGGAGGCAAAAGAAAAAGACTGTTTCATAAAGAATGTAAGGCATTTACGAAATGGACTGATCAACAAAATGAGTGATAAAGTGGACTGATTAACTAAATGTAAAACCTGATATCAAAAACCGTCTAATTTTCAGCAACACACCCTTCCTTCAAAACTGAAGTTAAACCCAGAACGTGCGTATAGGTTTCCAATCGGGTCAAGTTCGGTCGTTTCGCTCAGAGGTTGTTTGCCCGGTTTATCAAATAAATAAATAAATATAAATCCGAAATAAACTGAAGTATTGGTAACACACACCACTTTTTCCATAATTTGTCCAGTAGACTGCTGGTGTTGTCAACTAGTAAGATTTCCGCACGGCACTACAAGCATACTGTTCTTGAATCAAGAATACAAATTGCATTCTTTTGTTTTAGTCATTTATAGCGAAAACAAAAGATTGCTCATGGGATTATGGATTACACTAACATGGGGCTGTTCAGAAATTTTACCTGTCAACCTAATTGATTGCATGCAAATTGTGATAAAAAAGGATTGGGAATAACCTAACAGAGATGAGGTTTCTATATGCAACTGACACATTCATAAAGAAAGATGTTTTTTGTCTTGTCACAAGCATGGGACAAAGAAAATATTCTGAGTCCCCATGAGGTTCGATTCCTCATGGGGACTCAGAATATTTTCTTTGTCTCATGCTTGTGACCAGACGAAAAACATCTTTCTTTATTTCTTTACCAAGCTCAAACTTACCATCTCTCTTATTCCTATCTACTGACACATTCATTATTTACAGAGTAGAATACTACATGTTTTGATGGTTGTAATGCAGTTTTCTTCATAGCCATTGCTAAGGCTCACTGAGCATTGGTGCAACAAGCCCAAATTATGTCTTGTGTTTCTTCTTTTTTCTTGAAGTGAGATGTATGATGTTTGGTTTTGGTGATGATCAAGTGCCATTCACAGAATCTGTAGATTTACTTGAGGATCTTGTTGTGGAATACATCACAGAAATGGTTAGATGTTAATGTTTTATGATATAAAATTAATTAATTTATGCCATAATGTAAAAGAAACCTGTATAGAGAGTAAAAATAATTTTCAAGTTTTGCAAGCTTTCTTACTCCAATAATGGTTTGAGATAAAACTACGATTTTTAGTTGAGTGAGATGTGGAAAAAGTTTATTGACAGGGTTTTGACTGATTTTCTTCAATGGTGACCAAATCATTAGAGCTGTGTGTTACCAACTGTCAAACAAGAAGGCCTGCCAAAAGAGGCCAAATGACACATTGTTGCTGGAGATAGAGCCAATTGCCTGGGACAGCAACACAATTGTAAAAGTCAAAACTCGTTTTACCAAAAATCATAGTGATGTAAATTTTCTATAGTGGTTAAGTTTGAGGAAGGTTGGTTGTTAATAACATTGGGATCTAGCATCTTAAAAAATTTCAATTATTTTTGTTAATATGCATACATTTCCTTTGGAATTGTTTGCCCCAAGTAATATTGTTGAATTGTTTCTTTTTGGTAGGATTTGATTGCCCACCCCCAAATTAAGTTCTTTGAGCCTCTTGTCATGTTACTGCCCAAAGTGACCAGGAGTATGGCAATGTTCCACCCAATTAAGATGCCAGTGTATCACAAGCAACCACCTTCCCCCAGCAATTTATTAATTTTCATCAGTAAGTTTTAGTATAACTACTCTTTACACGAGAAGTTTATATTATTTTTCAGACACTTAAGGCCATGGAAGTTGGTAAAAGGGGAAAGGTGCATGTGGAGGATATTGTCTTTTTGATCAGAAAGGATCCCAAGAAATATGCCAGAGTCAAGGTAAGGAATTGGAAATGCATATATGTGAACCCTGATTTGCTGCATCTCCTTTCAGTGAGAGACAGAAGTTGTGAGTCAGAAAAGCAGAGAAGAATTTGTGAACACTTGTGAATTCTCCAAGCTCTGTTTCTAAATGGTATAGCAGAACACAACATTTCCCATTAAGGGATACAGGCTTTGGTTTCTAGTTACAATAACTTTATAGTGCCTTTGAATTTGTGAACTTGGTTTGATGGAGGAACACTTACACCCCAGTGGTAGGGGTCTTTCATAAATGGTAGTTGCACACTACTCAAACCATTTAATTCAAATTGGGAAAATTTCTAGCAAGTCAGTGATAGTTGAACATTCAATTCATTGGGAGTTGTATCTCATCTTAAAAGCTGTCGACTGCATCAGGCCCTCTTTAAGAACAGGCAAACAAAACATGATAAGAGTTTGGGAAAAAGTTTCTTTCTTTCCAGACCCTTGCAATTTATTCCTCCATCTACACCCAGTGAGAGCCTAGTGCAGATTACTGCAGACTCGATTTTTTCAGTCAGTGCCACCAATTACTGAAGAGTTTGACTTTCTTTATGAACATATTTAGGGTTGTATTATCCACTTTACTTGTGACATTTTTGCTTTCCTTTCTCTAAGGACCTCTTGACAATGAATGAAGAACTGAAGAAAGCAAGAAAAGCCTTTGATGCTGAAAGTTATGGGGAAATGGTGTAAACCTTTGTGATGTGAAGTTTATAGATAAAATCATCATTTAACTGAATTGATGGACTTGGCAGTTAAATGTATTTTCATGTTTGGTTAAATGATTAATGCCTGCTGGAAAACATGTGTTCATTTTCCGAGTTCTATTAGCCCATAACCAGTCCCTCTTTCTTGAGGTAATCTGCTGGGTGAGTCAAGCATGAAATCTGCAGTAAAGAGTCCAATTGAAATGAAACACATGTCCACTCCGTTTGTTTCACAATGTGTCAAGAACTGCATGAGGAAAATTCTTTCTCAAGTTAAGATGTTTGATTTCTAGCAAAACTGAACTACTTCATTTTAACCCATGCGTGTAGAACAGTCCTACACAGAAATTTTCTCTGAATGGTCTGCAATTAGGCTATGCAAGATTGACTTGGAGTAGTTTTCAGACCTACCAAATTCCATCCCTTTCCTTACATTGTAGTGACCATCAATACCCACAACAGAATTAAGGGAATAGCAGTACACATAGTTAATGGAGCCAGTTGTTATCCTATTTTATTTTAAAAAGTTTCTGCAAGTTGTACAGTTATTAAGCTCAGGTCATGTGATTTAGAGTTCAGTAAGTCATTTTTATATACACTGTAAAATACTATTAATATTCAAAACAATAAATATATATGTGTACAAGGTTTACATTTTTAGAGTTTCCTTTCATAAAAGTATCTCCTTTTTATTATTTTCTTCTCTTCCTCTGCTACTTCAAACTATCTTTTCTTTCTTTTTTGCTGAGACGAACAACTTCACTTGTGTTGATTCTTCTCCACAATTTTCTGATGAAAAGAGATACAGAATAAAAAGCATTTCACCAGACTAGATGAGTTAATTTGGAGTGGAAAACACAATGTGACAACAGTTTTGTAAATGTATCCATCCAGTTGATTATGTCCTTGGGGTTTAAAATATTTTTCATATTTGGATACCATATTTTAATGCTGCTGCATTTATTAACCTTTTTTCTGTTGATGTAAAGTAATTTTCTGGAGTCACCAAACACAACTAATACGGTGAATCATTTGTAATCACTAGGTAAACCATGTTTAAATTCCAATGTCCTGCTTTTCACATAAATTTACTTAAGCCCTTCACTTCCAAGATCTCCTTTTTTTCCAGCAATTCTCCTTACTATCTGCCATACAATTCTTGTGATGTCAGTTTGGGGAATTTGGTATTTGATCAATCGCTAACCCTCTAAATGATATTTTCTTTATTCTTATTACTTTTCTGCTTGATATTGTATTGAAAATTTTAGGAGAAATTCTGTCTTGGTCACTCGTGGGAATTGAACGGTTAAAGATAATGCTTAATTTCTTTCTTATTATTACAGAAACAAAAGCACATACCTGGCATCTATTTCTTGAACTTTTGACCTATCTAGCATTGACTGCAGTTCTTCCTCAAGCTCCTAAAAATAAAAAACGAGAAAAAAAGAACTGGTCAACCCATTCTTGTCTTTCATTTTAGGAGTGGATGACTTGGAGATGGACAGGGGAACGTAGGAAAAACAATTATCTTCACCCCTGTGCCCTTCTAGACATAGAGATTGATAGTTTGAAGCCCATCACCTTCCCTTTGAAAATTTTTGTGGTTATCCTAACAATATATAATTTTAGTCTTTACAAAACTCACCCCAATTTTTGGTATGTTCTGTAAGCTTTTATGACAGGAATACAGATAGTTTCAACAAACCATCCATACTATTTTTCATTTAGTAAACAAAGGTCATTAAAATTTATAAGATAACCATTAGGATTAACTATCAATTCTGAAAGTAAAAAAGATGCGAGTTTTACTTGACTGTTCATACCTTGATTGTTTGCTCCAGAAATTCATTCTGCTTGAGTAATTTCTGTATGTCAACCTACAAACAAAGCCATGTAAAATTTGAAATTCTACTGCTTAAACAAATCTGAGAGTAATATTTGGTTGTGTAAAAATCTGCAAGTAGAATTTTCAATAAATGGTCAAGGTATCTCACCTCAGTTTCCTTAACGCACTGTTCCAGATGTTGACAGACAGTGATGGGTATGCAATACTCTTTCTGATGTCTCTTGATGTCGTCAATACAGTCCAACTGGGACAAAATCTGATATAATTGTGATGTAAATACAAAAAGACAACAGTCAAATTGTTTACTATTTTACTTCATGATCTCAATTAATTTAGTACTCACTGGTATTTCTCTTTACTGTGAACTACACAATTGCATGATGTTAGTTTGGAGAATTTAGTATTGGATCAACTACTAATCACTTGATTGATATTTGTTAAATATTGTCATAAGTTGTCAGCTTGATATTGTATTCACTTTGATATTGAAAGGGGTAAATTCTTTCTTGGTCATTCATGGGAGTTTAAGGGTTATAATGCTAAAGTATTGTGACCATCTCTCAAGGTATTAGCAAAACATCCACTCTCAAGTCAACTCAAACTTTCTTGTTATATTTTCATGTTATCTTTATATCATTTAATAATTATCTATAATCATCTGGCCTGGGAATAGGCTTTTTGTTAAAAAAAAGCAAACCTGTGCATGTAAATCTTCTACTTGTTCTTCAAGGTCCTTGGGAACTTCTTCAATATGGACTGACACTTTGGCTTGAGGTTCTGGTGCAACAGAAAACATACATAAACACAAAAATGAAACAAAAAAACATGTCATATCTCATCATTGGCCCTTTTAATGATATTGTAGCCTAATATAATAAACAATTTTAGTGCAAAATGATTCCAAACCATTCTGATTTATCTTTTCTTAATGTTTAGGTACCATGGACATTTACTTGGAACAAAGCAATAACCAAACTAATGAACCCTTTAACTCCAAGAAGTGACTGACATGTAACCTCTCCCTATAATATCCATAAATTTTTTAAAGAAACAGTTAAAGAGAATACTCAAACTAATTGGGTAGAAGTTGTTACCTTGATCCAACACCAAATTTTCATAACTTAATTATAAGGAAATGTGAAGCAGCTAGAAGGGAGAATTAACAATCAGATCTTGGGAGTTAAAGGGCTAAATATTGTTTTTACCTGAATTCTCTAACAATGCCTTAAAGCAGTGCATAAGGCCTCCAAATCTAATATTACTGTTTCTTGAGAGTAATTTTGTGATCAACTATCATTCTCTGAATAAAGCAGAGTGAAGAAAGAAAATTAAATTGTAAAAAGTAGTTTTAACACTGTTGAGAACTAACCAACTGTAACAGCTTTCAAATCTTCAGCAGCTTTTTGCTCTTCTTCTCTCAAAAGTTTGGCCAAACTGTTGAAAAAGTGTACATAGTTTTTAATAAGAGTAGAATAGATTTTATAATAACTTCAGCCTTCAAAAACTTATTATTGCATGAGTTAAAGCATAATTTTACATTAAGCAGGTAGTTTGTAATTCAGATAAAAGCTTAAAAGTAGCTGTAGTTTTAAAATCAGGAAATAGCTTCAAAGACAAACTTGATTGATAATTTACAGATCTAGCTTTGAGAATGAAGAAAGGAGGTAAGTTTCTAAAGAAACTGAGGTACTGCATCAGTGGGAGAGTATAGCAAGGTAATTTGGTATTATCAACTGAGTTGATAACGTAAATTGGCCTCTGTTAAGAGTTTCAAAGCTGACATTTTGAGCATTAACCCTGTGTCATTTGCTCTGATGAAGGGCTAACACTCAAAATGTCAGCTTTATAACTCTTCACAGTGACCAATTTCCATCATCAACTCAGTTGATAATAGTTTTGAGAATAACTGACAAAAATGTTGTCACTTTAGAGAGATTTACAACCTGGCATTCTCTTCCAGGAGGTTCCTTGCTTCTCTTTCCAGAGTTTCAACTCTTTTCTCTTCAGCTTTAAGTTTGTCTGAGGTGGATGCATTTTCTGAGAAGCTGTTAATGTGATGATAAAGCACTTTGTGTTGCGACGGCTTTTGTGTGTCTAACAAATATGTCAAGTAACTGTCATACTCATCCTGTGAAGTAAAAAAATTAATTATACCTATCAAATTCAATGATCAGTTCTCAGTTTCAACTACTCTTGTGTTATCTTACTGGATTGCTTGAACAGTTCAATTTTGAGCCATCAAAATAGCAACAACAAGCATTAATTTCTTTTTGCCTGAGTAAAGTACCAAACATTGAGTCTCATGCAATCTGGATTTGACTCATCCGTGTAAATGGTCATTGGTCTCACTCAAGAGTGTGACACCAGTATTGATGCCACCTTGTTGTGACATGCACCCAAAAAGCTTTTATTCTTTAAGTTTTAAGGTTCTCTAATGGCTAGCTCAAAGGTCATTTAGAATTCAAACAAGACAGGTCAAATCTTTTTCTCTGCCTCATTGAATGAAAAGGATGGAATGGCTACCCAAGGCTGGCTTGTCAGTTATAGCAATTTTCCAGCCAGTGTCATGGATGGTATCCTGTCATGCAAGTGCTGCTCCACACAAAACAATCCTAGACACCAAAGCTCCACTTGAGGCACTTGCTGGCAAACCCCTTTAACTCTTAAGATCTGATTGTTAATTCTCCACTCTAGCTGCTGTCCATTTCCCAATAAACAAGTTGACGTTAGATCAAGATTATGTTTTTGCTGAATAATGCATGGATATTAAAAGATGAAGTTACATGTTTATCACTTTTGGAAGTTTAAGGGTTACAATTTTTTGCTTAAATCAATTGCTTCAAGATATAGATGCTACATCAAGAGCTTTGCAGCTACTTTAATTTGTGAAGCTCATAATATACCAAATTCAGATTAGTTACAAGTCATACAGTCTCCAAAACTCTAAGTAAACTCACTTTGATTCTTTGTAGAAGAGGACCAAATGTCTTAGATTCTGCAATAATCTCAGCCAAACATCTATCATAAATCTGCAGTCTATGAAAGTTTGGTCCTTTCTGACTTGAGGTTTCCAAAGAAGCCAGTTGCTTAAATGGCAAAGAAAATACAGCTTTCAAATCATATTTTGTGCACTATTTTTAGTTTCACAAGGTGATTTAATGACTCAGACTGATTATTAACCAGTTTGTTACCATTGGATAAAGCTGGTAACTACCTACAGCAAGTTCTATCTATCTACCCTTTCAGGGCTTACTAAGTTAGTAAGCTCTGAGCATAGTGTACAGCTGTGTGGATGACAACAAACCCAAATATTGCATAGGGAGAGATCATTGTCAACATCAGTACAGCAAATAATGAAGAAACCTGGGAAAGTCTGGGAAACATATGAAGACAAGTGACTGCTCCATGATGTTGAGTGTTTAACAATTTGCCAAAGTGTGTGATGCACAAAATGGTTTTCCGAAACTATTGTCTCTATAACAGTTTTATCCCCCAAAAAAGTGGAACAGATTCACAATGGTTGATTTTGTGAGTACAATTACGGGATAAAAGTAAATTGTTACCTCAGCATTCAGCCTGATTTTTTCCAACCTATAAATAACTCCAAGCATAGGCAAACAAATCTGAATAAATACCTTTGCCAGTCTATGCTCCAAATTTCGAACACTCCTTTCTCCTGTGAGTACACCTCGATCATGAGCATCTCCTAGGTTCATGACCTGGTCACCAAATTTCTTAAAGCTTTCAAACTGGTCTGCCTTGGTAGGATAGCTCAAATAAGTCTTCACAAATGTGTGGTGCTGGTCATCTGGTTTTGATTTTTCTCCAGAGCTTTCTAAAGGTTAAGATATCAAAAGAGTGGACATTCTTATCTCCAAGGCTTAGTCTGTAAGATGATTAAATCAAGTATGAGACTGACATCCATTCAACTGTTAATACTGTTTGTAATTGTTTAAAGTTTCTGAAGAAAAAGGCAACTTAGGGAGGATGCTTCTCCTCCAGGTTAGGAAACTAGTTTATCAAAGATTACCTTCCCCCAAACATTTTATTAGGTTCCCTTGACAGTTTTCTGTCACCCATTTACACCTTTAAATGAGTGGTAGAGCCTGGAGAGAGACTGAAATTCTTGCCAGAAGTACCATGACCATGCTTCACTACACTAAGGCAGGGCTTAATACCCAAGTCTTTCAGTTCAGAATTCAGAGGGTCAATTACATGTAGCAGGTCCCTATATCCACTGAAGACTTAGCACAAAATTCAACTTCCTTTCATCTTTCACTAATAGAAGACAAAGGTTTTAACATTTCTCTCAAATTTATACAATAAAGTTTGTGGAGTTGTGGGATTGGACAATTTCCAAGTAAGATATAAACTGTAACCTAGTCAACCAAATCAAACCTAAGGGCGGACATTTTAGGGTGTTCTGAATTGAAAAAAGGATTATTGTAAATGATCCTTAAGCATTGTACAGATAATGTTCTTATAAAAATCATCTGTTATTCCTACCTTTCTTTTTCATTACAGGTATCATTATCTCAGGCAGATGCAATTCCTCCACATACGTTTTGTCTTTGGTAGGTTTGTCTGATTTTCCCTCTTTTTTCCTAACTGTTTCATCAAAATCTTCTGCTAAATCTGGTCCTGATTCTGATTCTGTTGAGCAATAGAACATAAAACATCAAAATAAACACAGCAAACCAATCATACTTAAAAAATTAATTCTAACGTTGAAAATAATGCCATAGTTGGGGTGGTACACTTGTTCTTTTTGTTGTCTACCATTTTGTACAAAATACTATTTAAAATCTGAGGAAAAAAAGCATTTCTTGTTATATGTGAAATTAATTCAGAGCCCATTTGGTAAAGAGGAGTATATTTAATTTCAAGTCCAGAAGTATTATAACACACAAATACAAACAGAATTAATAGAAACCATTAACCCACAGAAGTGATTAACATGCAACCTCTTCATTTAATATCCATACATTATCCTGCAAACAGGTAATGAGAATACCCAAATTTATCAGCTAGAAGTTGTTACTTTGATCTAGTACCAAATTCTTGTAACTAATTTACAAGGAAACGAGTAGCAGCTAGAGAGGAGAATTAACAATCAGATCTTGGGAGTAAAAGGGTAAAATGTCTTAATCGCTATGACCCAGCCTTTAAACCTGTCTACAAGTGCAGAATAACTTCCTGGATTTTCACTTCACTGCAGAATAAAATTAATATCTACAAGACTGCTGGTAATACTCACTGTTAAGTGCAATATTTCTGATTGGCCCCAGGCTAAACTCGACCAGGCGATCTGCCATTGTCTTGTGTCTGAGTTCCGTAGAACTTAATTCACCTCTTCTCACTGGAAGATCAACAAGCTTGCTAGGAGACTTAAGTCTACAATTTAAAATAATAAAGTTTATCATTAATGAGAAATTAGGATCAATCACTAAAACTTAACATAAATTTATATAACTCCTACCATTCTGGCCTGAATCTTTGGACAAATAGCTTTTTCAGATTTTTTGCCTACGGACTCCTGCCTCCTGCCTCCTTAACTTTAACCCTTTCACTTCCAAGTGTGACAAATTACAGAGAGGAACTCTTAATTCTCACGATACCACTTCAATAATATATTTTCAAGGAGAAAGCTAAAATTGATGAGAAGAAAGTCAGAGAAACATCAACTAGAGGAAATATTATGTCTTATCATCAAATTCCAAGAGCTAAGAATCGAAAAAATGTATGACAGTGTGGAGGGTTACTACGTAGATCTTAATGAATACTTGTACTTCAAATTTTCTGCAAAAACATGACAGTTCAGGGCAAGTTGAGGATCCATATGTAGTGAAAAAAATGAAAGCCAAATTTAAACAGAACTTTCAACAAAGAGTTATTTCGTGAGTGTCAATCAGTGAAATGTTCTTTCGCAATATTTTTTATCGTAAAAATTCCTCCTTAGCTTAACTCACCTTACTGGAGGTTTATCTGAACTCTCCCATTTGGCGTGGCGTTGGTGTTGAGGTTTCAAGAGCTTACTAGAGTTCAGGTGACCACTTGTATATGTTTTAATATCTTTTCTGTGTACTTCGTAAACAGTTTCGAGCAAATTTTTTAGAGAAGAACTTTTGCGCTTCTCGTCCGCCATGTTTGTTATTATTCTCGTCTCCAAGGAAGGATTCGCCCCAGATCCTATGCCATCCCATGGAGGCTCGGTTAGCCAGCATTTCAAAATGGCTGCTGGAAAGTTACCTTCAAATGCGCTTTCTTTAAAACAGGTGACAGCAACATTTGACAACTTGCTTTGCTATGCAAAAAATTATTGGTAGATTTGATGATCGTGTGTTTTTTTCCTTTTGAAGTTCTTTCTTAGAAAGCAAGTTCTGAGTCTCTATCGTGAAATCTTTAAGACGTTACGTGAGGTGGAAAATGAAGATCACAGGAAAGAACTTGCTGATTGGGCAAGATCAGAGTTCAAGAAAAACAAACACGAAAAGGAAGAGGTAAGTTTCAGTTACTTAACAATGTAGGGGGATCTCTAGGGGGTATTTCCAATTTACCCTCCCTAGATGTCCCGAAAGAAAATCGTAACACCATTGCTAGATGAAAGACCCCCAAATTTCTCCCCGTTTTCTACCTTAAAATCTTTAAATGCCGAGAGGTGTTTAAATTAAGGATGGCAAATACCAATACTGATACCACTCTTTCAGTGGACTTAATTTCTCTTACAAGCTAGGAAAGCACATAACATATGGAGGTTGTTACCTCTTTAATGCGAACATGCAGGTGTACAATTATAGCAACATTACAAGGTCAGCATGAAGAAAACGACTGGTATTTTACTATGTTATGGTGTTATTTCATTATGTTGTAACTACGAACCAGCCTTTATTTTTGCAGATTGTCCTTAATGCATAAAATCAAAGACCCTTCTAAATTTCCAATTCCATTTGTTGGGTGCAATAATTTACATCAATCAATTACATTTCTTGACTGATTGATTGTTTTTTTTCTTAGATTGTCATCAAAATGATGTTATCACGTGGTCGCCTCACATTAAAAGAAATGTCATCAGCAATTTACTTGGCTAAATAAGGTTTAGAGAGGTACTCTCTTGGCTGAACAAGTGCCCTCCCTGCACAGAAAATC